CGAGGGAAGAGAGGACCTTGCCAGGTGCCTCCCCCGGCTAGTCTGCCGACGAGGGCGGTGTCGGGCACGGCGGAAGGGAAATTAATCCGTTTCTATGGGTTTATTGGCAATGACAAGCACCCGGCGCCCTTGTGAGTGGCCCATCGTGCTCGATGGAGGCCTGGTGGCCGCTGGCTTCTGTGTGCAAGTGGGGTGAGGCATGGGACGGCTGGTGGTAATTGCAACGCTCTCATTTCAGTTTGTAGGCATGCTTCCTAATGGGAAAAAAGTCCTTCTAAAGTGCTTTTAAAATTTGTTATGTGTTCTGAAGTCAATACAAAGTATCACAGTCTGTGAAACTGGAAATTTAGAAGCTGAAAAGCCTTTATAGAACAAAGAGGTGGATAGCACCTGGAGAGAAGTTGCCTTCCACCACGGGTGTCTGTCTCCCATTCTTACTTCACAGTCCAAGTGTATGCATATTTGCATGCATGTAAAGGTTCTGCATAATGTCACGTTCTCCAACCAAAGGGTGAGATCCTACTTTTCAGAGGCAGTTGTGACATTCCAGATTCTTGGGAAGGTTGGTTAGTAAAGATCAACTTTGAATTTTCAGGTTATATATAAATACATATGTATGTATATTTTTGATAAATAGCTCTTGTAATAAGTTTTGTTACATGTAACTAGTCCCTGATACATTGTGTAAATTACAACTTTGTTATACAGCAGTTGCTGTACAAGGTAGTCATTTACGGGGCCAACCCCAAGACTGTAGAGCTGCATCAACCGACATCTGTTCCTGGTTGAGACAAGCAGCATTTGCATGGTGGATATACATTACTATAGAGATGACACAGAATAGGAAGGAGACTTTAGTGAATATACTGGATTCTTTGACTGTGCTGCCTTAGCTAGGGAAAAATCAGTCTGGTTTTTAGAGTCTTTGTTGAGAGAAAAGTGTTGTAAGAATGTGTATAAAATATTGAGAATTGGACTTGTAAGCTGTATTATAAGTATAGAGTAGGGAGGGTGCTGTTTATTTTCTAATTGCTACAAATATCATAAACAGGAATGCTAAAGTAGTTACAGTGAAGTAACTGTTCCTTACAGGAAGTATGTATAGAAGTAGGTAGGAAGGAGGCATCATGCTGACATCCTGTCCCAGAAAATTTATTTTGTACTTATCCTTGGAACCATAAAATTCAGTTTTGCTTGCATGGCTGAGAACTCCTGGATGTACATACAAGCATGACTTCCTGGAAGAGAACCTAATATACACTGTCCCAATTACAGCTGTTCATGAAATGTAAGAGCAATATTAGATATTAGTGTTTCTGGTTCCTAATCTTGGTCTGGAATAAGTGCATTATCTATTGGCTAGAGCACTGATCAGCTGGACTAACCAAATGCTTAGGTTTTCTGTATTTATTCCTAAATGTTACAAATGTAAATAGGGAAGCTGGTTTTATTCCTAGGATTATGTGATTTGTGCAATTTCTGTTTTTTTTTTTTTTTTTTTTTTTTTTTGCTTTGGAGTAGGAAGAATATGCTAGTTGCATTTAGGATAAAGCTATGAGGTCATGAGGAGTAATAATGGCTGTGAATAATACTTACCTGAAGAAATGTAACCAGAACCCAGGATCACTTGGCTACCATTTGAAGCTGAAGAACAGTCTGTGACAAAGGTGGCTGCTTTGCTCTACCACTGGCACAGGGAGGGACAGCAAGACTGGACAAAACTTGAATATCAGGTCAAATAGTGAACACTTGGTTTGGACATCGTCTTCTTCTTCTTTTTTTTTTTTTCCAAACATGAAATGTAAAAACATAATAGGATATATAAAAACATGATAGGACAAGGAGGAATGGTTTTAAACTGAAAGAGTAGATTTAGATTTGACATAAAGAAGATTTTTTTTTTTATGATGAGGGTGGTGAAACACTGGAACAGGTAGATGCCCCATCCCTGGATATGTTTGAGGTCAGGTTGGATAGGGCTCTGAGCAACTTGATCTAGTTGAAGATGTTCCTGCTTGTTGCAGGGGGGTTGGACTAGATGACCTTTGTAGGTCCCTTCCAACCCAAACTATTCTATGATTCTATAATGGCAGACCTCTTAACATCCCATAAACAGCTTAAAGATCCTGAAATTTAAAAACAGATTTGTGCCTTTTTATTCAGGAGTTTGTTGGACAGCTTGGGGTATGTGTTCTCCATTTGTCTGCTCTTCTCAGAATCAGTGTCATCCTAAAATACATATATAGCCAACTGTTTCTAAATTTGAGAGAAAAACTTCCCTATTCCCCGAAAAAGCAAAAATAGTCATTCCATCCTCATCTCTTTCAAATAAGACCAGATATGCAGCTGCTCTATTCAAATGCTTGCTTTATTTTCCCCAACCACCTCCTCCTCCAATTCACTCTCTCTCATCCCCTTTTTCTCTTAATTTTCTTTCTACTTTTTATTCTTTATGCTTCTTTCTTTGCATTGGCAATTTCTACTATAAATCTCAGGTTGCCTTTTGCATTTTTTTTTTCATTTTTTAAACTGTTGCTTCCCATATCATCCCTTAATAGATTGTTCCTTCCTTCTGTCTCCACGATGTTTGTTGTACTGTCTCACTCTGCCTCTCTTATCGTCACCTGTTAGTAGCTGCATTTGAGCCCAGAGAGAACTCTCCTGGGAACAGACTCTCTTTTGCCAATGCAAAGTGAGGAAAATGATTGCTGCTAATTGCGATTTGACTGACTTCAGCCTCACTCCTAGCTGGAGATGGCAGCCATTTTGAATTAAAGTGCACATTTGAAGTACAGAACTTAATGAAAATCACCTAGAACAATAAAAGCTGTTTAGCTAAATTTGGCTATCAAATTTATGTCAAAAGATAAACTTTTAAAATACTAAATTGTTTGATAACAAATTTATACAGATTTAAGCTTAATTGAGGACTTGACAAGCAATTACTGTAAGACAAATATGGAGGTATATTAAATATTTATCTGACCATTTCAGCAAGACCTAAAAAAGAGGCCGAATAATGAAGGAGCAGTACCTTAATACAATTCTTTTGATCTGACAACAGTAAGACTGTTGGAATTCTTCACTGTTTTCAACAAAGTAACTTGGCGATATGAAAGTATTCTATTTTGGCAAAACTGCTTAACTGCTATGATAATAATACGTAAAATTAAATTACAAGATTAGTTAGGCATTTTTTATCTACTTGATTCCATCTTTAAAAGACAAGGAGCCCTCAATTAAGCTACAATGAAACAAATCTAAACTGAGAAAAATGTTTCTACAATAAACCTCATTTTTTCAGTAACAGAATACTTCATTTTAACCTTCAAGCTAGTTGGAATATTCACTTTCTGGCAAAAAGACTAGCATAGTTTGTTAGTCATAGTAAGCTTAAATTGCTTCATAATGAATTTTATAAAATAAAAATACACTCAATACAATGTTAATTGAGTTAGCTAGGCTTATTTGGGCCTTTCTTACATTTGTTTCTTTGGAACTGTCCCAGGTCAATTAATTCAGATACCAGATTGAATTAAGCTCTTGTATTCCGATACAGCTGTTGTTATTATCTTTTAACTTCCAGTTACAAAAGAATTGGCTAGTAGAAACAAAAAAATGTTTTTCTTCTAGCGGCTAGCTGATCAAAAACTGTCTTTACACCCTGGTTTTCTCTGGTTCTGGAGTGCTTCTCCACTTGTGAATATCATAATGAGCACTCTCCTTATCTTAATAATTGATCTACAAAGTGCAGGTGGCTCCTGGGTAGAACTGACAGCAAGGGTGTGGTCCCTTCCACGTGAATCCTCAAATCATCTGAAAAGCAATAACCCAGAAGTAAATAGGGACATAAAGGAGGGGTATAGAATACCTAGAGCCAGCCCTGTGCTACCTGGGATATTTCAACAAATGAGGTATTTTCAACTGCAGTAAGAAGGCAGTTTTCCCTGCCCTTAATGATTCAGAGTAGCACAAACAAGTTAGAGCAAGTGTTGAGAAACTCTTAATTACAGCATTGATTTAAAGCAGGCAGATCATACAGTCCAACATAAACAGACTGCAGAAAGCAGACGCAGAAGTGTTTTAACGACCCATTTTCAACTGCCCTAATTTATCTTTCTCAGCTTTAGTCATCTCTCTTTCACCCATAAAGCTGTGCATATTTCATTCTTTGAAAAGTCAGCCTGCAATTTTATTAAACACTGATATTTTCACACTTCTAATGTCAACTATGTAATTTCCATACAAACATTAGTATTTAGCCCTGAATAATTAGTATTATGAATAATTTCCCAGAATAAATATCCATAATAATTCATGGACCACTACAAGACAGAATACAAGTGCCAGTAAACAAAATTCTGAAAACTTTACCCAACCTAAATTAATCATCAAAATATTAATATCTTATGAGAGGAACTCGTGTCAGGCTGTGTATTGATGTGGAGGTTGGAGATATGTGGATGGTGGGTAGTGGAAGGGAGGTAGCTGAAATGTGGAACCACAGGGTACAGAGTAGATTGAATGTTAAATAGTAAAATTTGCACCTTTTTTTCTGAGTAGCTTATTTTTGTTAGAATTTTCAGTGTAGTAACAATAACTCAGTAATGAAAAAGTGGTAACTTGGAAGTTGTAAACTATTCAAATAGTACAACTTTTTGCATACATGCTGATTTTGATTTGTTTTAAATTTTTGTACTCACACTAAGTTTCAGAATGTTTTTAGAAATTGTATTATGATAGGTGATTATTTAACATTTTCTTCAGCTAAGCAACATGACGCAATCTCCTTTGTAATAGCTGTATATTTTATAGCTGGTATAAGCTTATAATTAATTTCTTATACTAGAAGGTTGGAGTTTGGAAGGAAGTTTGGAAATACTAGAACTATTTCTTTGTCTAGCTATTTTTCTGAATAGGTAGATATATGATCTGGGTTTATAAATTAAACAGTTAAAAGCTCTTATTTAATTACTTTCAGCTCAATCTAACAGATATTTATTTTCTCAGAGCTGGTGATTCAGATTGCAGCAATTTTCTCTGGAAAGAGGGAGTGTGCACGTATGGTTTTTTCCTTTCGAGCCCTCTTCCTTTCAGGATAGGCAGCAGTAAATGCCATCTATAGATAAGACTTCAAACCCCATGATTCCTTGGGAGAGCATGCGCTGAAAGCTTCCAGTTGTCAAAGTGCTCTTGCCAGAGTGGTCGACTACTGGTCATATACCAAACCTGAAAGAAGAAAATAAATATACTGTCATTTTGTTGATCTTTAAATACAGAAAATCCAAAGGTAACTGTTCCTTAAAAATTTATGTGTTGACTGCGTGGGTTACTGCATGCAAACAGAGCTGGTATTGCTATGGGGCTATAGATTTCCTGTACTGGATTGTAAATTTGTACAAATACTTACACCAGCAAATATCAAGAGGTACTGCATATTAGTCCAACATTAGACATTGGCTGGCCTGTCTTTCAAAGTAATTTATTATCCAGTGTTTTTCCATTCAGACTGGCTTCATTCATTAAAGGTAGGTCTTGACCTTGACAAGAGGGTTGAATTGTGCAGTGATTTTTAGCTTTAAGAAGCAATATGAAAATGAATGTGGATTGCAGTCCTTAGGACAAAGTTCAGAAACAACTATCTAAGTCAAGGTACATGTTTGAAGCAACTGCTGTGCTAGCCACTATAGATAACCTGGTGACTAACTGATTTAAATATACTTTATTGACGACAGAATTTTAGCATTTCAGCTGCTATGTTTTTCTCTCTAAATATATTTTTGTACTGATAGCTCAGAACCAGGGGAGGGATAAATATAATCTTTTTCTGTCTGTGGTGTGGAATCATCAGTAATTTTATGCAGCCTTAGGAGTAATAGCGATTTTGTTAGAAATGAAGCTAATGGAAAGCTACACAGAGCTTGGTATATTATGGCTTACTGCAGTATTGCTTTAAACTGCCTTGCAAGGTTTTCTGCACCCCCAGCAGCAGAGCTGCCTGTTACAGATGCATTCTTCTTAGGAACTTGCCTTAATGTCTCACTGCATAGTCTGTTCATGAACCCTTGCTGTTCGGTTTACAATAGGGACCATGAGCAGTAACTTAACTGATAGCAGACACCTCTCCTGACATTAATTTTAACTAAAAAGTGTGTGTGTGGCTCAGAAGGGAAAGGGAAGGAAAGGAAAAGTTAGATATACATGGACCATCTGAAAACTATTGGTGTCAGAAAGGAGAGTGTTGTTGATTCCACTCTTTGCCACCTTTCTTAAACAGTTAATTGATTTGGCCTAACTTTACTTTGTTACATTAAAACAAAAATCCTAAAAAAATGTAATCTTAGGAATGTACGTGTCATATGAGTAACTCAATAGAAATCAAGTATTCAGTGATAACCATCTTTTACTTAGTTTAATCAAAGTAAGTGATTTTTGGCTCATTTAAAACACTTTTGAGATTTAAAATGATCTCTTCAATTGACTAAAAGTCTGTAAAATGTGGTGGTTCCTGTTCTAGTTTCATACAATTTTTGTTCATTGATGTCTGGTATATGCATTAGTAGTATTGTGTTTCAAAATAATAATCAAATTGTATGATCTGTCCTATTTCATATGAAGCACCATTTCTTGCAGATATAAGACTCAACTATTCTACATACATTTACTTTTTAAAGTTTAAACATATGTATTGATTTAGCAAATAATTTGCATCACTAGTCTTTGTCTTGTGCATATAAAGATGGCTTTTAAAATGTGGCATGTCTATATTTTCGATATTTCAATTTGCTCCATTTTTATTTTCATTGTGGAAGCATCAGCAACATCAGACTAATAATACTTCCCACATCTGCTCATTTCGACCTTATTTTTTTCCAATGAACAAATTGCTGATTTCATATATATAGAAATACAGCGAGTAGAAATACCTTTAAGCAAAGGACTGCTTTGATGTAAAATTGCCTTTTACATGGAAAGATCGTAAGGTCACCGAAGGCAAATATAACACCCATCGGTGGCTTTGCACGTCAAGTGTCTCCACACACTCCCCCCCCCGCGCCCCGTCACTGTGATCGCTTCTCATGCCCTAAGCAAGCAGCGAGCTGTGCGGCAGAAAAAGGCCAGAGAACGATTGTGCAGCTAAGAACCGCTCCCGTGTCAGTGCGAGATTTCGTGTGTGCTTTCTCTCTGACAAATTTAAATAATTGAAAGCTTGTTTGTTAATTAAGGAAAATCGGTATCCGGCTCCTTTAAAGGTCCCCTAATAGAAAAGGGGGTGGAGAAGACTGAAGACTGGTGTCTTTTTAACCTTGCTGAAGGACGCAGCAGTATTTATTGACGTATGCAAATAACCAGGGGGAGGAGGTGGAGGAGGAGGGTGCTTGGAAAAACAGGAACCAGAATCAGTTTCTCATTGCAGGGTGAGAGCGCTGAGTTCCGGTGTAAGAGAAAAGAGACGTGGCGAAATTGCTGTATATCTCTGCCCTATAAGCACATCTCTCATTTAGACTGAAGGGAAACAAGGCATCAAAAAGGGTGAAGCATCTTAAAAAATATTTTAAAGGCAATCTAGCATGATCAAAGGTTACATATTCCTAAATGGGGGAGGGGGAGGATTACGGGTTTGCCTTGCAACTTGCTGTAGCATAGCAGTAGCAATAGGACGAGATTTTTGGCCGGCAAATGATTAACACAGCCTGGTTTGTGTATGAATGACAATGCTAATAATCTGTCTTTGTGGTTTTTTTCCCCTACTGTTTCAGCTGCGCAAACCATGCAGGATGATTTACTGATGGACAAAAGCAAAGCCCAGCCCCAGCAGCAGCGGCAGCAGCAGCAGCAGCAAGATCCAAACTCAGCAGAAGCCCCCTCTACACCTATCTCATCGGAGACACCCAAACCAGAAGACAACACTTCAGTGACTAGTATCGGCACATCGGCTCCTTCCCAAAATAGCAAGGAGAAGATGCAGATGGAGTCTCCCATTTTGCCTGGCTTGAGCTTTCACCAGCCTCAACAAGAACCTGCAGCCGGCACCTCCTTGTCTCCCTCCTTCGGCAGCACCTGGTCTACAGGGACCACAAACACAGTGGATGATAGCTTTTTCCAAGGGATTACTCCAGTCAATGGGACAATGCTTTTCCAGAATTTTCCACACCATGTCAACCCTGTATTTGGTGGCACTTTCTCGCCTCAAATTGGCCTAGCTCAGACTCAACACCACCAACATCAGCAGCAGCAGCAGCAAGCGCAGCAGCAGCAGCAGCGGAGGTCACCTGTAAGCCCTAATCAGGCGCCTTTTGCTCAGAGAAATGCTGCTTACAGCCATCAGCCCATCATGACCAGCAAACCGTCTTCCTCCTCTGCCTCCTCTTCTTCCTCCTCCAGCTGGAATAACCATCAAAATGCAGCTTGGAGTACACCTTCCAACCCTTGGGGTGGGCTGCAGGCTGGTAGGGACCCTCGAAGGGCAGTTGGAGTGGGGGTCGGTGTGGGAGTGGGGGTCGGTGTACCCTCCCCCCTCAATCCCATTTCACCCCTTAAAAAACCATTCTCCAGCAATGTCATTGCCCCTCCGAAGTTCCCACGAGCTGCACCCTTAACCCCCAAATCCTGGATGGAAGACAACGCATTCAGGACGGACAACGGCAACAATCTGTTGCCTTTTCAGGTAAATGACTACATGCACCTTCTACATGGTGACAGCTATCAAAGTTGTATTTTTTGCTGGGGTATATTTCATGTTACTGTTCTATCTGAGAGTATCTCCGTAACTCTTATTTGTATTGAATAGTCACTTGGTATGAAAGAAGTAGGGTTGATTCTAAGGCTGCATACACAAAGATTCCAAATTCTGGCTTAAGATTTACACTCTTATTTTTCTTGTAACTTATTCTTAAATGTGACTGAGCTTTTTGGGGTTTTTTGTTCTTTATTTTCAGCATCTGAAAGGTAGTAGCCCTCCTTCATGAAAAACAGGTTTGGCAGACTACGTTCTCCTGGTGCTGCATGTTATTTTTTTTTCATATTCTCCCCACGTGAGAAATGTGAGATGTTAAATTTCTGGCTTCAGTTTTCTAACTGGCATGTTAATTTTAACCAAAGATGCTTCTTGACCTGAAATCTGGTTAATTATTTTATCACTATTGAAATAACTAATTGTCCTTATGTTGTGGTGGGATTTAACAGGGAGTCTATTTGCATAAGGTGTACCTGTGAAAAGCTGTATATGTCTGATATGTACACCCTGCTGTTATAGTCACAGTGGACGTTTCGAATACATCTAGAAGCAGCGTGGGTGTGTATGGAAAGATGGGCGTATCTGTCCTTTCCAGTAAGGAAATGCCTAATATAATTGATGTGATTTAGAAATGGCAGGGAGGGATTGTATAAAATAAACCATTTTATGATGTTCAAAATATTTGCAGAGAAAAGAGACAATAGGACACGACCTTCAGAGCCATATTGCAATGGAGTCTATTTACTAGCTACATAGCTCTGAAATATTTAAAGCTGCAGTGCCCTTCACTGTTTTTTTAATCTATGACGACAAAGCAGATCAATTGCAGCTGAAACTGGGCCACATAGAAGATTTGCAATTTTAATGCAGAATGAAACCTGTCATGGTGTGAAATCCATTTTCAGTTGAAAAAAGCAGAGCATGCACTTGCAGTTATATCTATACAACGTGAAGTGAATCTCAAATTTCTTCTAGGTTAGCTTTTTTAGCCTCAGACAAATTGAAAATTTCTGTTTTGAAATACAGTGAAATCATTCATATATGCTTTCTCTTTAGGTAATTGCTTTCCTAACAAAGTATGAACTCTTAAACATTTTTAACTTATCAGGATGGTAAGAATAGCATCTAGACTGACACTAGTATTAGAAACAAAGTTAAAAAAATGAAACACACACCCCCTTCCCATGACTTTAAGAGATTGTTGAATATGTGCATTCCTGTGCACTTTTCAGTCCCATTCAAAGAGGGCACCTTATAGTCAGCCCTGAAATTTCATTTTGCTGCTTCATTCTGTTTAAAGGGAGAGCTGCTAATTTTTTATTGGCTACCATCAATGAAGGTGGAGTGGCTTCTGGTGAACTGCAGGTCGATGTCTCTGTAGCACTTAAGTCAGGAGAAAGATTATACTTTAGACACAGTATGTCTGGTGAAACTACTGTATTGCATGAGCACAGCAACACTAAAGCTAATGAATATAGCTCCAAGTCATTTTTTAGGAGTGAGAAATGTAGTTCAATTTACAATTATTATTTTATTTAAATTGTCTACATGTAAGAAATTACAAATTATGGTAAATTTGAATTAGCAGGGAAAACAACAGTAAATGGTATTATTTCTGTGGTTTGGTCAGTGAGATACATCTTAGATGAATACAGAACTTTATTATTGTGACTGTAATTTGTCACAAATTAAACTAGCAGGTATTTGGTCATCAGTAGAGAAAAAAAGTAGATAAATTTTTTAAAGAAAAGTTCCTTTGATTTTAAAATTAAGGTTTTGAAAAGCTAAGGTATTAGCCAATATGAAAATTTGGAAATTTGTTTTTTTCTCTGTGAATTTAACCTGCTGTTTTCCTGTTCAACTGAAAGCAAATACTTAGACGACTCTCAGCACCAGCTGGAATAACAGTCTGATTTCAGAGACTCAGAAAACTTTTTTTTTTTTTCCTATTAGGTTCTTTTTAATACTAGCTGATGAATTTTGCGTACAAGATTGTAATCTGGCTTAATGTTGATTGCTCCTATACTTAACAAATTGCCAAAGAAGTCTTGAAACTATACCATCTATAGGAGGCAAATGTTTAGTTACGTTGATAAAAATGAAATTCAAATTCATATAAGAGTTTAATATTTGTTGTGAGGGTCCTGGTAGTCTTGTTTTTTTCTTCTCCCCCCTCTTCCCCTCCCTCCCTAAAGTTGGGCAATATGTTGACACAGTTGACATAGTAAGTTCTACTTGTCAGCACTGTCAAGCAATTCTGGCAGGTTTATCCACGTACACCTGCCACCCTTTGTAACTGAGCGTTTTTGATCTGCTTCAGAAATGCCTTTCAGTAAACTTGCTAGCAACACGTTAACGCACATTAGCAAGTTCTTCGTGCTAATCTGTTCTTTTCTCTTATGTTGAGATTATAAGACTCTTTAAAATTTGTGGTTTATATTTAATTAAGTCCTTAATATATGAAACTCAAGATATTCTAAGTAAAAAGAAAAATATTAATATGTTCACTGGTTGAATTAACATCAATGATACCTATTTTTTAATTCATGTCTTTGCAGTGATCAAAAATTCTAAGCAGAAAACTTCTATAATCAAGGTTTGTGTTCTGAGTCTGTAATATTTGAAGGCAGCTGATACTCAGCTACTGATATATATAGTTCTAGGAAAAAATACTGAATTTGAAAACGTTTCTCTTAAGAACATGTATATAAAGCAATATTCTAGATGTCTTCATCTCTGAATTTGAGTAATACATTAGTGTACCTTGTATGTCAAAACCAATTGGCATCTGTCCCAAGGAGTTGTGCTGCAGAACATATCAGAACATTTAAAATATCAATTGGTAGGAGTTCTGTTGGCATCTGCCTTGTGGTTGGTGTTGAAAGGCAACTAAAAATGCTTTGGAGGAGACTGTTTTCATATACTTAGGAAAATTGATTGCACTGTATTAAAAAAAAATATTTGAAGATTCAAAGCTGATGGTTGAAAGGGATAAGAAGCAGTTGGGCTCGAATGAAATGTAATGTAGCAAATACGAGTTGGAGATAAGATCACAGGAATAGATGTGGAACAAGGCCAGGTATGAAATATAGAAATGTGGCTATATGTTCTTCTGAACATTCTTTGTCTTCTGAGTGGTTCAGGCGAATGTTCTCTGTTGTGATTGTCATGTGACAAGCAGTAGTGCGCCATTATGCTAGGGGATCCTTATTTCTGGCCTTTGAGGCTGACATTAACTGATTGTCCCTGGGAGCTGGGCAGCGGTTCA